AAAGGAGGAAATGTGAGGGGGAAATGCCAACTGAAATTCCCAATTGCCATCATTTTCGACCCTTCTATTCTAATATCGTGCTACAGGGCGTACGACGGAAAAGGGAGCTTTGAGAGGAGCGAAGATATATTGGAGATACCCCTCTTGGTTTTTCCTAGCCTCCCTTTCAACCAGAAGTCGGCTGCCTTTGGGTTCTGCCGTAATCACTTACCCGCCTTCGCCGGGGTAAAGCTCGCATTGGCTGTCGTCGCAGTAATGGCTTGGCTGAAGAGCGATCGGTATCGTTGATCACCTCAACAATCTACCCACACATCAGCTCTCCAGGGTGAAGTCGCGCTACACGATGGTTGCGTGTAAGATGGTTGCGTGTAAACGGTACTATGTGGTATTCGGGAACTGGTGTTTTCTTTCATCGATGGAGTAGAAGATTTGCAGCTATCACATGCAAGGTACAAATCATTGCTAGAGTGCGACTGTGGGCGTCTGAAAAGGGAGGTAGGTCCGAGATGAGTGAAGAAAAGGAGTGAGGCGTATGGCGTGCGGGAGGAGCGGTGGTTACTCTCGATTAATCTGTTTGAAAGTCTCAATAAATGACTTATATCCCTATATTGCCTATTCTACCAAAGATAAACAAGCCATATTTCCTTAGATGTCAGGACTTTTGACAGATCTGAGCAAGCTTCAGGAGCTGTCAGAAAGTTGGAAGCTGATGAGGCTGGTGGTGGATCAAGCCACTATTGGTTGGGCCTTGGCAAGCGGAGAACATATACTCCGTATGATGACTCTCCATCAGCAAACTTAAAAGTAAACCAATCATTTATCATTGAAACGGGTATCTAGGTCATTAGGACGGAAATTGTCTGCTAACAAGCCAAATCTGAAGCCAACAAAGTACATTTATTATCATTTTACAATGGTACGCAGTTAAAACGCCTGACGCCATCAGTATCCTCTTGCAGAAAAAATTGAAGAACAGAGCTAAAGTCGTCCAAAAGTTTTAATCTCGCCTCACCCGTTTCCGCTCCGGTTTCCGCTCTTCATCTTCCTCCTCACTCAGCTCTGCAAAGATAGGGTTGGGTTGTGTTTCCTTCCATACTTTTGTAAATACAGGCTCTTTCTCTGCCTTCTCTGCATATTTAAGTAGTGCTTCACGTGGGTCCTCGTCTCTCATGGAGCTAAGCGGAATATTTTCTTTGATATGCTTCTCGTCCGGCTGGCTTTGCGCGAAGGGAGTTTTGTTGGGTAGGTGAGGTCGACGTGGATCTCGCGATCGGCCCGAGGCAGTGAGTCCGATTGTCGGATGTCGGCTGGAGAAGGAAGCACCAGAGGCAATTTGCCCTGTAGCACTGTCTGCGGTGAGGCCAAGGGATAAATCTGTGGAAATATTTGGATCATCGTCCACGTGCCACCGTTTTGGCGCTTTCGACATAACAAGGACTGCGCCGTTATGAGACATTGATGGGTTGTATAGCACGTGCGTCTCTCCATTTGCAGAACCAGCAACTATTTGGTTCAGTTTCTCGTGCCAAAGTACTGAAATAAGAGGAGACCCTGGTGTGACTGGTGTAGAAAGCTCCGGCTTTAGGGTTGCAGGATTCAGGATATGGAGGTCCCCAGTTTCGCTGCCGGTGATGATATTCGCTCCGCTAGGTGAGAACATAATATTCGCGTTGTGGGAATATTTTGATCCAGAAATATGAGACACAGTTGTGATGGGAGTTTTGAACTTTCTCGTATCCCAGAGTTTGATAGTATCATCCCCTCCTCTGGTGACGACTAGCCGCCCATCAGGGCTAATATCAAGACCGCTTGTCCAAGTATCTTTAGTATGCGCTCCTTGAATTTGAGCGCTTGGCCTCAAGAATGGACCATCGCCACTCCACATCACTAGGCTCCCATCAAGAGCACTGGCAACGAGAATATTGCTACCTCCTTGCAGTGGTGTGGCCCAAGCCACCGCAGTCATCCGGGTCCTGCCCGCGGACCCGGCTACCCGAGACTGGTGCACAATAACTTCTTTCTGCGATCGTCCCACATTTACGTCCCATATCCTTAACGTACTATCCGTTCCAGCCGTAACACATAAATTATAGTCTGTAGGACTCCACGCCCCGCTCGTGATTTCAGAGATGTGGCCTTTAGTATTGCGCATATCCCTAAGGTACATATCCCCTTTGACAAATTCCGTGATCATGTCGCCATCGCGATCGAAGATTTTTGCTTGAGGTGTTGCGGATATGACCAGAACTTGGCTTGGGTACAACGGGTTGAATCGTGCGACATGGACCGGGTGGATTTCTGATGCTGCGGACTGCTTTTTTGCGGACGGTTCTACAGATTTGAATGCGCGAAGAGTGGTCGGCGTCATAGAGGCAAAATCATGGAGCTTTATCGTGCAATCTGTTGAGCCAGTTATCATTCGCGATCCTGAGGGATCAAGGGTTATAGTCGTCACCGCGCGCTCATGTGTCTTGAAAGTGAGTTCATGTGATGTTGGAAATTCATCTTCGGAATCCTCCGAGTTGTCTGATTCTGACTCTGACTCTGACTTAGAATTTCCTTTTGACTTTAAATCAGCTTCTGAAATCGTAGGAACTGCTTTCCGTTCTTTTTCTTCGCCATCATCATCGTTGCCATATTTAGGCTTATCCTCGAATTTTGATCGGAGTTTTGATTTCACCTCAGTTCGTTTTGTCCGATCAATCTGGGCTTCTACATTAGTGGACTTATCCTGCTTCCCAAAGCCGCTGGGGAAGAACTTTTTGAATGTTTCTTCATCAAATCCATCCATAGTGGGTGAACACACCGGCGCATGTAGCAAGGAAAGGCTGGGTGAGAGCTTGGAAGCTCCCAACTTGACGTTGCAATTTAGCCGCTTTTAACAAAACCTTAATATTCCAAGCAGCTGCGCCATCTTATTAGCGCGCGCTTATCAATTTACGCGCGAAACATTAGGCGTCACTTTAAAGAGATTCGGTATTTTCCGGCCTCCACAGCTTCTGAAAGTTTCATGTTAAATTCAAAGGTTTCCGACTTACCATGATATAAAGAGAAAATCCAGCTGGATTAACTTGAAGATAACGAGAGTGGTGGGGGGAAATAAAGCAATGATGATAAAAATGACGACCGCTCTGATTTAACCCTTCATAATTTCCAAGTGATTGGATCAAACTTCTCACCCTCGCGTACTGCTTTCAGCATTGCTTTATAAGAATAATCGTGAGAGAGGACGGAAAACTCGTCAGTCTCATTTCAGCCGACCCATCGAAACCAGGTTTCTCTTACAGGAGTCTAATATGGCACACGCTTTCCCCACCAGCTCGGAAATTCCACTTTCGGGAAAGTCAGAGAGAAGAATAGCAATAGTCGCAAGCACTAGCGCTGTACATAAAGCAGCAGACGTAATGTAGTTATAGCTCTGCCACCATCCCGGCCAACGACGGCAAATCCAGAAGTTAAATATCAATCAAACCTAAAATTGCCCAGGATGAAAAGTTCAATGGACCCTAACATTTGCGAAATAGAGACGTACATGTTAAGATGTTCCTTTGACCCGAAAATATAAACGAGGAAGTGGACTGAAAATTACTGAATAGGTGATGTCGACGGATGCAATTACCACAAATAGCTGATTGACTACAACATTATTTGGTTTGATCCCTGAGATACCGAAAGCCATTCCAGACCACCCCAGGAAACCATTCCAAACAAAAGGAATTAGTTTATTTGCGGAGCGAGCGTAGCGAGTGAAGCAATATATATAGGCTTTTCGTGCCAGAAAATTTCCTCTTTCGGTCATCCGGATTAGGAAAGCATTCTCGCGCCCTGATTGGCTGAATCCCTGCGCTCTGATAGGTCAATGAGAAGTTACGCTCACGTGATGCCACGTGACCGCCCGCGTTGCTGCAACGGCCTGTATAGAAAGGCTTGAGCAAAATAAACAAGCAATTACAGCTTCATTCATTCTATTCTATTTCAAGGCTCTTTTTACTGCATCTGTATAAATAACCAATCTGAGCTTCTTTATTGCTGCTTGCTACATTTTAAAGAATTATAATGAATTTAATCATAACTTACAGCTATTAAAGAAGAGTCTGTAAATAATTTATAAAAATTTCTTTCATTTTGCATTGAAATTTATATACAGCTTTTCTCAATTCATACAGTTAAATGACTAAATGTAAATGTCTTTGTTTTATGAATGCTGCTCTGAATTCATATCGTTCTTTCAACATATTAATAACTTTATGTAAGAAACCCGCACTAAGGTGCCAGTGCTAGGCCGGAATTAGCGATAGCCCTAAAGATATGACATCGCCGAACATAACACCACCAACGTCATATCAGGATATGACATCGCCGAACATAGCACCACCAACGTCATATCAAGTTTGAAATCAAGGCATTATCTTGCCACTTGCATCATACTACGCCATCTACATCATAGCAAGTTCGATCTGCTTATGATACTGTGTGTATATAGCTAGCAGCTGGTCCAACCTTCTAGGGACCAGCGGATCATTCTGTTATAATCTGACCCCTACGTTCTACACCCTCAATATCTAACTACTTGATCCGAATCCTCTCCGATATATCACCGTATTATCTCCTACTGCTTGATCCTCGTAGAGTCCTAAGGACCAACCGAAATATAAGCAGCCATTTCCAACATCGCTGCTTACAGTTTGATCCGCTCTATCCCTTACCTTTACAAGGACCGAGCATCTTGATCATCATGTCTGAGGCCGAACAACCTACGAATACTCCTCGATCAGTGATCGCTGAATCAGCACCAGCAGTATCTGCCTCAGCAAACCGGCGGGAAATCCGACTTGCCGATCCACCTGCCTATTATGGCAGTAATCTACATGAATATAATATATTCATACGAGCTCTCGAACGTATATACAAGTTGAATCCAACTCAGTATGATACCGATGAGGTCAAGATCGTTTATGCTTCGGGTTGGTTACGGAAAACAATCGAAACCACTTGGGCTACTAAAGAGAAAGAGCTCGAAAGGTTAAATCAACCTTTTTCATGGAAGGACTTTAAGGAATTCCTGCATAACGATCTGGAGGATGTACGCAACCGTGGCTTTACGGCAGCGATTCGCTTTGAGGAATTGAAGTGCCCACTGGAACAGCCAGTGCAACAATTTGCCTCCAGATTTAATGAGATTCGCGATGGTCTAGCAACCGATCCGGAAAAATTATTTGCTCAGCTATTCTTTGCTAAGTTGCCAACCACGATACAGGATCAAATTCAAACTCACCATGATCCCCCTACTAATCAAGCCGAATTACTTGCGTTAGTTGCTCGAATTCAAGCCGTTTACAAGGGCCATACTAGGAGGAGCAACAACAAGCAAGAGTCCTTTTCACAGAATAGAGAGAATGACAATAAGCGTGGAACCAAGCGATACTCTGATGGTTCCCCTTCGAAGGCGCAACGAAATTTAACCTCAGCTGGAAAACTCACCATAGAAGAACGTCAGCACCGTATGAATAACAATCTTTGCCTATTCTGTGGGGAGACAGGTCATATCCTTAGGGATTGTACTAAGAAAGGAAAACGAACTCAAACCACTGGTAAACCGAAACCGACACCTGTGATAGCTCATATCACAGAGACTCAAGGAGGATGAGGAGTGACTAGATGGTAGATTCCGCATGTATATCACTATCCAACTAGACACCCCTAGTGGTCCTGAGCCGATTCGATGCCTAGTCGATTCTGGAGCAGATTTCAACTATATCTCTCACACTTACGCCACTTCAAAAGGATGGAAACGGATTGGACCACCATCTCAAGTGCAATATCCTGACGGACGACGAGGATACCGATATGGCATCGTTAATGCTACTCAAAGAGCCACCGATGGGCTAGGTGAAACTCGAGAGAGCAAACTTAGTTTCCATTCAGTTAACCTAGCAGATGAGGATCTTTATCTAGGTCTTCCTTGGTTAAGAACAGTTAATCCTTTGATCGATTGGAAAGCACTATCATGGCGACATCGAATCGGAGATACTAGGATTGAAATAGCAGAACCAGAAGAATTTATTCGTTCTATGCAAGAAACATCTACAACACCACTCTACTTTTGGGACGGCAACACCGAATCTTCTTCGGAACGACTATGTTCTATTAACGAGACTACCTTACCTCAAAATCTACAAGATCTTTTAACTGAATTTAAGGACATCTTTTCTGCTGAAGCAGCAGCCAAGTTGGATGAGAACCCCATCATATCACATCATATTCGATTACAAGATGGAAAGGAACCCCCTTACGGACCTCTATACAATCTTTCGATAGCAGAACTAGATGCCCTACGCAAATATCTAGAAGAGATGCTGTCACGGCAGTGGGTTCGTCCTACAAAGAGCCCCGCTGCTGCACCTATCGTATTCGCAAAGAAAAAAGGATGGAACTCTACGCCTTTGCGTAGATTATCGAGGCCTTAACAAGATCACTATAAAGGATCGATATCCAATTCCTCGCATTGAAGAAATGTTAGATCGATTACAGAACGCCATCATCTTCTCTAAGATAGACCTCCGAGATGCCTACTATCGCATACGGATAGCAGAAGGGGATGAATGGAAGACTGCATTTCGAACCCGATACGGCAGTTATGAGTTCCGTGTTATGCCTATGGGGCTCTGTAATGCCCCTGCTACATTCCAATCTTATATCAATGAGGTGTTGAAAGGCCTTGTTGATATCTGCTGTATTGTCTATCTCGATGACATCCTTATCTATTCCCAAAATACCGAAGATCATACGAAACACCTCCGATTAATTTTCGAACGTTTACGGAAATATCGACTTTATGCTAAGGAAAGCAAATGCACCTTTTTCACCACTGAGGTTGAGTTCCTTGGCTATATTGTATCACCTACCGGTATAGCCATGGATCGAAACCGAGTCGAAACCATTCTAAGTTGGCCAGAACCTAAAAATATCCGAGATATTCAAGTTTTCATAGGATTTGCAAACTTCTATCGAAGATTTATATATGCTTTCTCACGGATAGCCGCACCTCTTACGGATCTCCTTCGAAATGCTAAGGACAAGCAAACTAAGTTCTTACTTAGTGATTCAGCAAGAAAAGCTTTTGTAAACCTGAAAGAAACATTTGCACAAGCTGTTCTACTGGTCCATTATGACCCGCGGAAGGAAACCCAAGTCGAAACGGATGCAAGCAAGGATGGTATTGCTGGCATTCTATCTCAACGCCTTGAATCACCACCAGAAACTTACCAGGAAGCTATGAAAATAGCATCTGAACGAAGCCAAAACATCTGTAATTCGGTGCCTACTCGAAGAAAAGAGTGGAGGCCCATCGCATTTTTCTCACAGAAGCTTTCTGGAGCTTCTAGGAACTATGACACCCATGATTTGGAACTTCTGGCTATAGTGGCATCATTTCGCCACTGGCGGCACTATCTGCAAGGCAATCCGTACCCAATTCAGGTCATAACCGACCATGATAATCTGAAATACTTTCTTTGTAACAAAAGCTTGAACAACCGCCAGGCGCATTGGGCGGAAGAGCTATCTGCTTATGATTTCTATGTGGTCTATCGACCAGGACGGCTAAACCCCGCCGATCCACCTTCAAGACGTCCAGACTATGTCATTTCCCCTGGGGATGTAGACCCAAAGCTGTCATGCTGCTGGTACTACAGAAAAAGATCCGCCAGGGACTTCATGGCTCTAGTCAGAACAGCTTAGTAGATACCGAGTCGCCTTCGGTACGGGGAAGCTCAGATTGTTCTGCAGAGTATTCTTGTTTCCGAGGTTCCTTTGGAACTGGCACTGAAGGTCATGAACTTCTCGTGCCACGTCTAGCAGTGGTAAGAGCTGCTGAGGACGAAACAGGCCACGAACCGCCTACTAATCGGCTTCTAGACTTCATTAAGGAACTGCAGGAGAGGGACGCCTTTACTGTAGCCCGAAGCCAAGAAGTTGAGAATAGCGCGGAGCCTGGGATTCTTAGAGAAGCCTCCGATACATCCGGAGATCCTTCGATCATCTGGCGAGTAGATGAAGATCGTGGACTTCTACATCGCAATCATGCTATCTACGTTCCCCCTAGCAAAGCAATCACCCAGGAGTTGTTGCGAATTCATCATGATGACCCCTGGGCAGGCCACTTTGGTATTGCCAGAACCTTAGAGCTTCTACGTCGCAAGTATTACTGGAATACGCTCCTAAAAGACGTCGAAACGTACGTCAGAGAGTGTGATATCTGCCAGCATGTTAAAGCTAAGAGGCATAAGCCATACGGGCAACTTGCCAAAATTCCTGTGCCTACTAGGCCGTTCAGTTCTCTTGCCATGGATTTCATTGTCGGATTACCCACCAGTAGTTCGAAAGGGAATCACTTATGATAGTATTTTGGTCATACTAGACCGCTATACTAAGCTAGCTAAGTACTTTCCTTGCATGACTTCAATTACTGCTCCTGATTTTGCAGAGTTGTTCATAGATACTATTCTAAGCGATTACGGTTCGCCTTCGTCTATCATATCTGATAGAGACAAGTTGTTTACCAGTCACTACTGGTCAACATTCTGTTATTATTTACGAGTTAAGCGCAATCTGAGTACGGCATTCCACCCTCAAACCGATGGGCAAACGGAACGCCAGAACCAAACCTTAGAGAACTACTTACGAGCATACTCGAACTACCACCAGGATAACTGGGTGGATCTGCTTCCGCAGGCACAATTTGCCTACAATTCTGTTTCCCAGGCATCTATTGGCATGCCACCGTTCCGAGCACTACTAGGTTACGATCCTGTTCCACCGAGAGGGGTGATTGATAAAGAATCTGAATCTGCAACTTCTGTTGATCTAGAACCCTTAGCTACAGCAAGGGTTGAGAAATTACAAGAAATACAGAGCAAGCTTCAAGTTACTGTCCGAAAGTCTTTCGAAAAGCAAGCGGAATACTATAACAGAAGGCATCAGGATAAAACCTTTGCCATTGGAGATCCAGTTCTCCTATCTTCCCTGAATATAGCAACTTCTAGACCATGCCGCAAGCTTGAAGATAAATGGTTTGGACCGTTTACAATTCTGAACACCATCGGATCGCAAGCATATCGATTAGATCTTCCGAGAACCTTTGGATCTATGCACCCTGTCTTCCATGTTACCCTGTTAGAACCTTATTACCAGCGACCGGGTGAAGAACCTAAGAAACCTCCTGGTATCCTACTCGAAGGCAGAACGGAGTATTTTGTTGAAGCTATTTTGGATAAACGATTGCACCGCAATAAGGAGCAATATCTTGTTAAGTGGGAAGGATATCCTAATACTGAGAACACCTGGGAACCTCCTGAGAATCTTTTGAACTCCCGCAATCTTCTCGAAGAATATGAGAAGGTAAATCGAAATCGACCCCTTGTTAAGAAGAAACGTTCTAGAATACGACATTAGTAGTTCTCCTATTTTTTCCCTAAAGGGTTTTGGAGTTTCTACTTATCTACGTTTGCGCTTCGAACCCCAAAGGGTTCTTGAAGCTTAGTGGCACTCTTCTCCTTTTTATCCTACAAGGTTTTAGGAGTTTAATGAGGCTACGTTACGATTTCGAACTCTGATCAGAAGGAAAAAGCAAAGAACCCCTCAGAACGCCATCTGCAATTTAATTTTCCTCCATGATTCCAAATTCCCTTTCAATTTTGCCAATCCTTCCTACAAGCTACGATTTGTTAGTGATTATCTAGTGAAATCTCTTTGGATATACATACTGTATAAAACGTCGTCTCCAAGCATTCAATATTCTGGGCCATCTCCCCCATCCGCATCACCATTTTTTCCATTTTTTCATTCATTTCCTTCTGAGCGTCCTCAATACGCTGCAGAATCGCAAGAATTTCGAGGGCGGGGGCTGGGTTCGGTTCGACCACAGGCGCAGCTCCACAATCTCACAGGACAACAACATTCGATGTCGGTTAATACCGCGAACTACCTACGATTACCCTACGATTTTTTGGGCCCGCTGGGACAGCGGCCCTTTCAGGGGGGGCAGTTGTAAGAAACCCGCACTAAAGGTGCCAGTGCTGGCCCGGAATTAGCGATAGCC